GCCGTGTCCTCGCCCAGGAGCTGCGGGGAGGGGACTCGCAGGGAAAGTCCCGGGCTGACACTGCACTCACCCCACCCAGCGGCCGCTCCCGCACATCCCTTGCCCAAAACACCTTTCCAAGGGCAAGGATGGCGAGATCTGAGTGCGGATCTGGACCTTACCCTGGGACCTCTCCCACTCGCATCCTTGGCCACTTCCCACCCGCCTTTCCACCACATCAGGGAGCTTTGCCCTCTGCCACCAGCACCTGATGCCCAGCTTGGCTTCCAGAGCTCCCGGCTGCTCCCGCAGCCCAAGACGAGGCACAGAGGCCCTGGCGGGCAGGAGATTCCAGCTGGGATCTGTGGCCTGCAGGAGGACCCGCTCAGTTCCCAGTTAATCGCAGAGCTTGTTGCAAGAGGCGATCCAGCTCCTGCTGTGAAGTTGTTCCTTTCCCTCATTTATAGCAATGCCAGGAGCAGAGAGTTCAAATTATATGAGACCACTGTAAAAGTAACTGCTTCCTCTCTGCAAATACATAACCAGTACATTTGAGGGGGCTGAGGGGAAGTTCCTGCAGAAGCAGGAAAAGCTGAGCACCGCAGAACAGCCGCCTCAACCTCCCTGTACAGGCAGAACCCACCGTGCCGTGATCGGGATCAAACTGTTCTCATCTCTCGATTCTTCCTCGATTATTACCTCGATTATTCCTCGTGGCTGGCCAGAGAAACCATTGCTGTGGCAATACCTGCATGCCAGAATTTATTTCATGAGCCCTGTAGACAAGAGACATCAATTCCAAGATGGACCAAAAGAGACCACCCCCGAAAGTGAATTTTCTTGGACTTAATGGTGGGTGTACAGCATTCCTTATGTCATCAGCACTTGCAAATAAAGCATGCAGAGAGACCAAGTGCATGTAAAAAATCCAGTGTGCTTTTGATCTAGATAAATTAAACCTAAATGTCTAACTAAAATTGCATGTGGGATTGTCAGAAAAGTATATAACCAGCTTCTAATGAAATCAACACATTGAAAATTCTGAGGTGCAAGAATATTTGAAAAAGAAAATAGAGAAGGTGAAGATGCTTCATTCCTGTAAATTTTTTTTGTTAAAAAAAAAAGAAAAAAAAGAAAGAAAGGATGAGACAATTACTGAGTATATCAGTATCTTCAGAGCAATTTTTGCCCACATGTATTTTGTTTTCTTTGAACTTTCTAGGTTGTCTTTCCACATTTTTGTCAGAAAAAAATCCCAATCTCTCTCTATCGCATTGGTCTTTCACAATGCATGTTAAGCATTTTGAGTGGCACCTGTTACAAGATCAAGCTGGAGATTTAATGAATCTTTATTTTTGATTAATGTTCTTTTCCCTTTTGCAGATTAGTCCTTAACAACTTAATATTCAGTGCTTGCTGCCAGCACTGGAGAGACATATCTTATTTAAGAAATGAGACAAGTTTAGTTATGTGAATGAGGAATGCCTAGGAATATCAATCATTGGTCTGAGTAAGAAATTGCACAGCCATACAGAAGCTACAGTTATCCAGTGTTCTTCAAACTGAGATGGAGATGCAGGTGGAAAGCTTTCAGGAGGGAGAATATTCCATGGAACTACAGGGGTCATGACAAGGAGTGGTGAAATTGTTCTTCTGGAATGTACCCAACTGTATTCCCACTTCCCAAATGAGCTTTACAGCCACTATATTCTCTTATATCTACATATAAAAGTGACAGATTTTTCAGTCAAGAAACAATTGTTACTTTTGGTTTCCTACATAAGAGGGGCTGTACATAACTTTTCACACTGTTATTCTGCACAAAACCTATGAATTAAGCCAACACTTTTTTTAAAAAAAGCAATTTTAAGGATCATAATTGAGACAGTTAACATTAATTCTGTGATTTTTATAATTTAATCTGTATTCATTAATTTAACTTCATAATGTAAAAAAATTCTATCATTATTTGATGTCTGCAACACACTCAGAATACCAGTGTCATGCTTCTCTGATAAAATGGATTTTTTTACAGAAACATACTGGTATTAACTTTCATTGCCTGTATCCTATATTAATGATACCAATTCCAGGCATCGATTTCTGGTATTGACATGATAGCCACTTCTGCTTCTGTTCCTTCTTCCTTATTCCTAAATCTATTCAGAATGTGCATTATTATATTTCTTGGTCCCTTTTAACAAGCAAAACTCAGCTCCACTTCAGTGACAAAATATTTAATGTCAAATGGTGGTCTTTATACATGTAGGATTTTGTTCCTGCTGGAGCCAGAAGTCATCAAGTTGCCTGTAGCATGTAAGTACCACTGATATATATTTGCTATTTCTTCCTTTTCTGCATGTCTGAAGGGTAAATAAACACCTTTCCAGCAAAGTAGCCTTAATATTTTGGGTTTTTTTTCTTTTCCATTGTTTATACAGAAGTAAAAAGTAAAGTTATAAAACGTAAGTAAGTGAGAAAGTTCTTCTTACTGACTGTGATCCTGTTGACAGTGGAGCTTCATTGATAACCAATAGTTTACTTTATTGATTGCCAGACAATTAAATCAGAAGAATGGTCCTGGTCAGCTGATGTAAAAATAATAAGGCTCATCCTGATCAAGTACATTTTGTAGCCATTTTGCTGGCCAAGAATAAGAGTGTAGAAACAAGCTACTGCAAAGTAAACTGGAGTGCAAACTTGCAGAAAATCAACCCTCTGCAGTAAGTCTGCCTGTTCTCCCTCTTGGAATATCCTTGGAATATCCTTATTGGCTTGTGTTTGTTACTGGTTAACAGCACACAACAGCTCTGGTGCTTCTGATCAGCAGGATAGATGTTTCAGGTAGCCACTCCCTTGGGCTTCCAGGATGTTTTATTGCAGGCACTCCACTATTTTGGGCAGCCACCTGAAGCAAAAGACAACACAGATGCCAACCCAAGGGTGCTCAGGGAGGGACAGAAGTGGGGAATAGGCTTCCTGTAAGCAGGAATGGCTTGTCATGGGGATTAAAGAAGAGATGTGGTAGCAAGACACAAGGGAGGAAGTTCAACAAAGGAGGAATTTGGAACTTAGAAATCTGACTGTTGAGAGCAAGGCTCTTGGAGAGATGAAAAGATCCCACTGTCTTCCTGTGAAGGCAGAAATGGCAAAGAAAGCTCTGGCAATGGGAGCTTGCACTTGGGAAACAAGTCACTGAAGTGTGGAAGAAAAATTGTCCTTTATTCTCTCTGGCAGCATCTCTGGATATTTTAGGATTAACCTCTGTTAAACTTGTGGCAAGATGTCCCAGTTTTCTGGTATGTGTTTTAATACCCCAGCTCTTTGATGTGTGAAGTGTCTCCCCCTATTAAATAGCGGCTTTGCTGCTGTTGTTCTCCATTTCCTGCTCTAATTCCCCGTGCCTGGATTGCCCTTCCTATTCCTGCTCCAGTGACAGAGCAGCTGTGGCTGCACCCATTGCTTGGCACTCACTGAGCATTAGGATGAAATATCATTAGCCTAGAAAAACTATGGGTGTTACTGTGTTAAACACATTCTTGCTTGTCTAAGGGTGTTCAGAGAGCAGAATAAATAAAATAAGAGTGTGCATGCAGGGGAGGGAAGAGGAGCAGTGTCCATGGGAGGGGATGGAGCAGAAGAAAGCACAGAGATCTACGTGCAGTGTACCAGCTGCAGGGAGAGGTGAGGCTGATGCTCTGCCAGGGCCCAAAGCAGCTGCACCCAAAATAGTTGTGGCCCTTCCTTCTTTTCCCAAGCTTCCAGAAGTTGCCCTGTGTTCCTTCAGGGTGTTTGATAATGTCACCATGGCAGAAAAGGTGAATCATCACACCTCTGAAGGGAGGGAGGGATTAAGTAATCTCCTCACAAGCAGATGGAAACCAAAGCCCATACCCTTGGGGAGGGTCTGTGTCCCCAGAATACGACTGACAGTTCTGGTGTCTGCTATTCTGCTACTTCAGATCTTTCATAGTTAACCAAAGGTGTTACTAAAGCACAAAGTATTTTTTGCACTGGGACTATCTAACATCTAGGGCACTGAATAATTAAACTCAGCACAGACTTCAAGCTGTCAGCATACCTGGAAATGTGATTTATTTACATTAGTAGTGAGTCAGGTAAAATGTTTCTGTTCACACCATCCAAAACAGAACAGAGAAATGCCCCTCTTTTAGAATTGCTTTCAGCAAGTGAGATGTACGTTTAAGAAACAAAAGCTGGATCACATCTGATTGCTCAGACAAGATCTGTATTTTTGCCCAGAAGTCACATTACACATTCTGCAGAAGATAATGTGGCCATCAAAGAAGCACAGGGACAGCACATCTGTACCTATCACCTAAAGTTAGCCTTTGTTCCCAGCTGAAGCGTGGTAACAGCAGGATTTTTTTCAGCATTCTTTATTTTTTCTCATTGTTCACAAATATATTGACTCTGCAGTGGGAACCCCTCAGTGACCAAGGCCGTCCTGCAATATTTTTCTCCCTTTAATTTTCTTGGAGTCGTTCTCCTGGACACCCACCAGATTTATTGCAAAATGAGGGTGTAGAAAGAAGTATTCACCTGACCAAATCTGTCCCTTTTCTTCCTCCACACGCTGTCCTAACTAAAACTGTATACCACTTCTATTGTACTTTTGATCTCATGATGCTTATAGTGCTCAAAGTTTGACTGTCAGGTGAACATGAAATTCACAATACCCTTGGAAAAGTGAACAAGATTTGTTACAGCCTTTGCCATCAGGTGGCTTTTGCCTGATGCCTGTTTGGTGAGGTTGGCAAACACTGAGTGAATAGGGCATAGCTGAGTGGTGCACATTTGTAAAGTGTAATCATACTTCTAGGACAAGTTCTGTTTTACAGAAGCATTGGAGGTGGTGTGGAGTGAAAGAAGGGCTGAAGTGTTCACACCGTGGATTGTGTGGAATCTTACTAAAATAAGTCTTTGTGCTGCAGAGATGTAGATGTGGGTGTGGACCGTGCAGTACAGTTACCCTCATCAGCCTGCACTCAAAAAACAAATGAACATTTCACTTTTATTTATTATGAAGTTGAGGGTGAGGGGTTTCAGTGGACTTTTACACAAAGTATTCATTTAAATGCTTTCTAGTTTGCTGATGCTGCTGCTTTTCCCCCAGCTCTCCTCTGGCTCAAGGCCCTACTTGTTTAGTTGGGTTTCAGCTCCTCTTCAGGCTTAGGCAGTGCTGCTTTGCAAGCACACCCTTCTCTGGGGGATCACAGAGGCAATCCACTCACCAGTGCTCTTCTTGGCCTCTTCCCACGTGTAGTGGGGCACGTAGCCAAAATCCTGCTGTGCTTTCCTGTAAGAAAAGGTGAACGGGGTGTTCAGCAGTGTGACCAGGTGCCGGTTGGTGGAGGGGATGTATCTGACAAAGGGCCGGAGCAAGAAGCTCACGATCTCCAGCAGCAGCGAGAAGTAATAGAGCACTGTCAGAGGCATGGGCAGCTGGGGCTCAATTCCAAACCCCAGGTCCTTGGTCAGCTCGTAATTCAGATCAGCGTAGCTCATGTGAGGAGTGTCATCTGAGATGTAGTAGAACTTGCCCCTGATGTGCTTGGCTTTCTGCGGGGCTCGGAGGGCTTTGGCTGCCTGCACGTGTGCCCAGGCGATGTTCCCCACGTACACGGGGTTCACCAGAGCCTCCTTCCTGGAGAAGCGCAGGTAGACGTTCTTGTTCAACAGGCACTTATCCAGATGGCCCTGGAGAAACGGGCAGCCTTCCCCAAAAATGTACATGGACCTCAGGGCACAGGTCATCAGTGTGCCACCATCCTTCAGCACCTGGCCGTCTGCTTTCAGCACGGAATCCTCTGCCAGTCTCTTGCTTTGGGCATAAGGAAATTTGGGTGTGCTCTCATAAGCTGTATCTTCATCACCATTGAAAATGGGGTCACCTTTGCAGTTTGGGCCCGTCACTTCGATGGTGCTGGTGTATATGAAGTGCTGGACGTTACAGCGGACACACGCCTCCAGCAGCAGCTGAGTACCTTCAGAAAACAAACATGAAAGGCAGTCTAGGACCCCCTAACCAGGAAAAAGTGGGCGTTTCAGATCAGAAACAGCATCTCTGGCCTGAGCTTAGCCAGATCTCCCTCCCTGCAGTTGGAAGAATCCTGTCCTGAGCAGGGCAGTATATTCAATGACACAGAACCTGCTCTGAATCTGTTTTTAAGTAGTATCAGTGCACCTTTCAGAATTAAGCAAGGGTGAATATTTGGTCCTAATTGCATGTTGTGGCAGTGTTTTTATGGCAGGAATCAAATTTTTGCCCCTCCTTAGCTCAGCATGGGTACTGACCACAGATTCAGGGACTTGTGTCTCTTGGTTGGATTGAGTTGGCTTTAAGGCAGAGGACCATCAGAAGCTGCCCCTCTCCTTAGGTGTCATCCATGCTCTGTGGTGAAGCCCATGTTTTTCAGGCTTGAGGTTGCTCTCGGATGGTTTGCTAAGAAGGGACAGAATTAGTATGGGACCTGAAGGTTTGCTCCAAAATCAGTGCACTCACACCCAGTGCAAATCTATCCAGTGTTCGACTGACTAAAGAGAAGGGCTTGAAAAGAAACATGGTGAAGCAAGGCATGATAACATGTAGTCAAAGATCATAAAGTGAAGTAAGAAAAGAGAGGCTTGTGTGTGTATGCCTCCATTTCTGGCTTATTCTGGCTTTTCCTTGCAGAAGTACAGGATTTCTTACATTTAAAATCCTTTAATGCTTTCTTTGGGGGCAGCAGAGGTCAGCTGTTCAAAGTCTTTTAAATAGCCAAGAAGGTTAAATGAGGAAAGCACACTGAAGGGGGAAATAAATACTTTAATAAGTTGTGTTGTTATAGTTGCAATTAGAATCTTATTTTTCTACCCAGCTTTGAGGCAGAAATTGCCTTATTTGTTGTGTATGGTGTAATGAGAGAAATTAAATGTAAAAAGGCCAGTGACTTTGGAAGAGAAGACACAGCTCAAAGACATTTGTAAACATCTTTGGCAAAGGAACATTAAACTAAAATGACTGATGTGATATCAGAAGAGTGTCGCCTAAAATCCAGGGGATAAAATCAAACACCAGCAGTGAGGCACATAGAAATGTTCCAAGTCTGCTCAGTCTGTTACAGCAACAACTGAAGGCAGCACAATGCAGACCAGGTTAGTCTGACTGAAACGAATATAATGAATTAAGGAGGTTCAGAAGAGCCAGGAATACTGGCAGCAAAATATGGACTCATTAATTAGTGAAAAATAGGAAGAATATTGTTAGGGCACCAAAATTCCTCTTTTCAAACATGAACAAGTAAAAGAAAGAAATTGAAACAAATGGAAAACAAATCTGGGTGAGGCTTTCAGAAACATTAAGGAAGTGCACTGAAAAAACGTTATGCAGACAGGAATAAACTAATGTGAAAAATGAGTTCATGCAAGTCACCCTGTTTAGATGACATACAAGCCAGGGTCATCTGGAAAAAAATAACTTATTATATTATTTTAAAAATAATAGCTTAATTCCTGTGTCAATACTGTTTAGAAAATGAGGGAAAGTAATCAACTGCAGAAGGTCTTGATGAAGTCAAATGAGATAGCAAGTTTTAGAAAAAAGCGAACATAAAATTATCTTGACAGTTGGTATCTGTTCAAGATGAATTTCACCCAAATAAAATGTTGTTTATTTGCAAATCAGAATTTTATGTAAAAGTTTAGATTCCTACAGTAATGGGAATCTGAGTATCTTTCACATTTCATATAATAAAGTAAATTAGTACTGTATTAGATGCTTTATTCAGTGAGTGGGTCCCCATGGTTTTCTTGCTCTTCTGGCTGAGGTTCACAGAACGTATTTTGTTTAGATTATAAATAATTATTTTCTCAATTCCATTCCTTTTAAAAGTTTGCTTCCCTTCCTTCCTGAAAAGATATTTTTGCTCTGAGATATTGTGTGGCAATGGAGGAAAGCCCTGCATCAAGGCAAGTTTAACTTGTTCACTTCAGTCCTGGTTTGTGAACATCCACATCTGATTCTCTAAACATTTATGTTACACAAGTTCTGTTTTCTAGGAGAAACAAGACTTTCACCCTGCAAGCCTGTGAAGCACATTGCAGTGCCCTGGCTGGTCAGAAAACCAGAAGAGCATCAGAATGGAAATGGAAGGAAACAAGGAAGAGAGGACAGCAGCATTCACTGACTGACCTTGTGGCCAGCTGGCTCTGGGAGCAGGACTGTGGAGGGTTTTTCATTCTAGCAGATGTAATCAGCTAATCCTCACTGGCCCAGTGGGCTTTTTTCACCCATGGCAAACAGTTAGCAAGAGGGTGAGTACTGGGGAGTCAGAGCTAAAGAGCTTTCTGGGTTTGGGACATTTTAATAGTAGTTTGATTTTCATTTTTTTTTAATATACTTTTTTTTTTAATTGCTCTTTTTCATTTTTCCTTGTGGAAAAAATGTGTTTAAGAAGCACATTCTGCTGTGAAAAACCAGATTGTAGAAGAAGTACGGTCATAAGGCCAGAGCTTTACAAATCCTCTTTCTGAACTACCAACCATGTATATTTTCATATTACCCAATGCACAGGTTTCCAGGAACTTGCCTTTCTGCTCTTCCCTCCTGACAGGGGCCTAAGAGGCTGCCCACTGGGCTCTGTGTTTTGATCACTGACAATTTGTGGCTTTGATTGAGCAGAAATGAAAGGGTCTGGAAGTTAATGGCACAGGCAATGAGCCACACTAAAACACCTAAAATGTGATCCCACTGTTTTTAAGGTACACGTGAGAAACAACTCAACTGCCAAGAATTCTCTCTTCCTCTGAATGCTGGTCAGCAGCCAATATTTGTGGAAGTGATGCCTGTACAGGTATGTTACTTATTTTTCTGTGAAGAAGCCCTGTGTCTGAGGCAGAGAGAAACAAAGAATTGGGAAAGATGTTCATGTAAGTAAGAACATCTTCCCCGAATCTCCCCCAAGCTGTTGAAGCAGCACAGTCAGGGAGGCCAGTGTGCATGCAGGTTAGGCAGTACCAGTCCTCTGAATGGCACTGAGGATTTTGGCATCACAGACAGGGGATGTTATTCCTTTTAGGAAATACATTTAAATCCCTGGTATATGATGCTACATGGGCTATTCCTAAATCTACACATTCTTCCTTCATCTGATCTTTCCTGAAGAATGGGGGTTCCTTATCAAAAGGGGAAATCCCACCACTGAGTCACTGAAACCCCTTCCTCCCATAGCTCTGAGTTTGTTGGGGAATTTTAAATTATAAGCTCAAGGTGGGAGAGCACTCGTTCCTCTCACCTGCCTTCTTGCAGACTTAATGGCAAAGGAAGGAAAAGGAGAAAAAGAAGAAGGAGAGAGCCACAGGCTCTGGGATGTTATCAATACAACATTTCTGTAACTGCAGCCAAAGTCTGCAGTTTTTGTAAAATTTGAAAAAAATGTACACAGGCAGGGATGCCATGTGGGGTGGGAGAATAAGAAGCAATTTCTGAGGTGAGCATTGGGATTTCAGAGGGGAATTGCTTCAGAAAGTTCCACTGAGCATGGGTTATGACTATTACCACTGAAGGCAGAGCCTGTGCAGAGCTCAGCATGGGCATACATAAGTGTGGACAAGAATGAGGGGTCCTGCACTGCCCTGAAGTGGAGGACTGGGTGTGGAGAAGCCCAGAACTTCTTGGGGCTGCACAGACACGGGATTGCACCCCTGGGTATGTCTGTAAAAGATGCAGAACAACCCAGATAACCTGGCTCAAAACAAACACGGGTCAGGTGGTCCCTTTCTGAGCAGCCAGAGATCAGGACATAGATGTGGGTTTGAGAAAGGTGCTTCACCTGTTACATTGACTTCCCAGAGCAGCTTCTTCTCGATGAGGCCCAGGGTGTCGATGAGGGAAGCCGTGTGGATGACGAGGGAGACCCCCTGGCAGGCACGGTGCAGGAATGTGACATCTCGGATGTCCCCTTCCAGGATCTTCACCTCAGTCTTACCCTTGAACTCTGCAGGGGCAGCAGAAAACAGAGCACAAGACCCTACAGGCACCCTAAGAGGAGCACTGGAAGGAGTGGTGAAGGGCTGACCCGGCCTGGCAGGTGCTGACTGTCCAGGAGCAGCAAGAATATTTTAAGGCTGTGAAACAGAAGGCATTTCCCCAGGACTCTATTGTCAAATGCTAACTCCAGTGCTATAGAGGTTTATTTTGCATTACCTACCACAGATCTGGAGCCAATATTCAACATGTTTCTTTCTATTTTATTTTTTTAAATCTTTTCCACTGCTAGAACTCTTCCTTGAGTTGTGACTGTGTTAAAGTTCACAGAGGAGTAGCTTTAGCTGTTCTGGTGACTGGCTGGCTATAGCTGTGTCCACCCAAGCACTGCATGTTCCTGTCTTCAAGCTGATGAATGATCTCTCTCCACCCAGAGCATATGAGCACAGAGTTGTGTTCATACCTACTTTCTGCCCCTCTACCTTGCCTGTACTGCAGCTCTTCCAATAAATTACATACCATTCTGACATCTTTTCCTTGTACCTTGGCCAGGACTTACAGTGCCTCTTCCAGCTCCAGCTCTGGCTCCATTTCAGTGTCTGTGCTGTGGGGTCATTTTTAGCCTGTACATCTTTCCAGTTCATATCTGAACTCTCGAGACTGTTCTCCTGAGCTACCTCAACCCAGCTTGTTTAAATCCTACTTTTTAAGCCCTCTCCCTCCACAGAAGCTGCAGTGTGTGACCCCAGAGGAGCTCCAGGTCTCAGAGCCATCCTTCCCTAAGCTGTTCTGGGCAGAAGGATTCTTTCTGCAGCCCAGAGCTACACAAACATGAGCCAGCACCAGACAATCACTTGGAAAAACCTCCAGTCCAAGGCAGTGCTGCTCTCCAGGGAAATCAGCTGGCCTGGCTGCAGCAATGCCACGGGAGAGCAGGGGACTTTCTCAGCATGACCCACATCTTGTAAGGAGGTGGTGCCATTGCAGCCAGTGCTCTGGGAGCCTCTGCTGTGGCTGCACTAGATGGCTCCCCAGGCCCAGCTGCTGGGCAGGGACCCTGCAGCACAGGCACAGCCTCCGTCTTCTTCCAGCATAATCAAATGCACCTTCTAAGATAAGAGAAGAACCTGATTAATTTGTCCAGCTTTTAGCTTCAGCCATGACAGCAATCTCGTGTATCCTAGTGCTTTGTCACCAGCTCCAAAGCAGGCAGCATTTTATCCCACATCTTTAGTATGAAACACAGAGAGAGACAGCTGTTAGATCTGGAACTGAGTGGGAATATATTTTTAAAATGGTTTTATCTCATTTTCTCTATAGCATGCTAAGAATGTTACCCTGTATCAACTTAATTATTCTGATGCAACAGGCTTAAGGGTTGCTTTTCCCTCCACCACGAACAGTTGGTCTGAGATTTAAGATTTGTGAAACATCTGCAAAACTCTTACTAAACCTAGAGTTGTTGCCCTCCCAGCACAGTCATTGCCACATGCTCGCTTCTGCTCCTGTATTTTACAGACTGCATTCATTTCCTAGGACTTTGTCTCCAGAAGCTTCACTCTGACCTCTACTTCCATGGATGCAAAAGTATCAGGCTAGGGCTGGGCCTTTTGTTAAGCACCTGGTAGTTAGATTTGCTCTAATAAATATTAGTCTTTGTACCGCCCTTAGGTTGATGTTCTCCATGAATAAGGCTTTGTGGCATTGTAATAATCTCAAGAACAGACAGAAATAGTTTTCACAACATAAATTCTGACATGTGACCCCTTCAAAGTTATCACAGTGCCCAGCAAGGGGTTAGGAAAATGGAGGTTTTACACCTGCAAATCAAAGCTTTCAGGAAAAGTACAGAAGAAACCTGTCCCTTTTAAAGCTGATCACAAGAAATCTGCTGTCCAGCTGCTTTGTGCCTTGTTTGGGCTTGCAGTTTGTGTGAGTGTGATATGAGTCAGGAAATCTGCTCCTCTATTCCATTTTAGCCAGCAGAAGTTGCCATGGTAAGTACAATATGGGCCTTGCTCACTTTAGCAACATCAGCTGCATGTCGGGAATCAGCAGATTGATCTTGTTTTGCTCTGGGTGAAAACTACAGGAGAGCTTGGAAGAAAAGACTAAAGAAATGACTGACAGACAGTGGTTTCAGTCCGAGACAGCCAGCAAAGAGAAACTTGATTTTCATCTACACAAACCACTGCCCAGGCACCAAAAGAACACATGTGGGTAGGTCGGAGGGGGAGGAACAGAATAAACTGAAGTCAGCTCTCCATTTTTGCATAAAGTGATTATGACAAAGTACCTACTCACTGAGGAAGCTTGTTCTTCTTCACCTGTGGTTTCTGTGTCTTCTGAGTTGTAAGTGAGCTCCCTGCTTTCTATGGGGTAGTTTTTGCTTGAAAATGCAATGATTTCTCAATAAAATTCAGTGTCCCCTTGTGAGCAGTTTTTGACCCAGCAGAAGAGTTGAACTATTTGCCCTAAACTTGAGAACAACATAGGAGTTTTGATTTTTCCAGAAGTGCAATAGTGATCAACAAAAATGTTGTGTAAGTGGAAGCACAGGAAAGGAAGATAAATCTGTCATGGAGGTAAGAAACCCAGGGCACCAAAGCACCATGTGCAGTGTGACGTCCATTCTCAGCCACACAACGTAATGGGGTAGACTCCAACTCTCAGCACTCGACATTGACTGGATCATCCCAGACTCCCTGGGGCTGTGGAAGACCACAAATGCCACTGTCCTGCACAGACTGAGTGTGATGGTCAAGCTCTCAGCAGGAAAGTTGTTTGGACAAAAGAGGAGTGCCCCTGAGTGCCTTCTGGCACAAAGGCCTGTGACTTGCATGTGCTTTTCTGTCTTACTACCCACAGCCCTGACTCTGCAAAGATATTGCAAGTGCAAGGTGCTCAAGAGATTAGTGAGGAAAAAACCCACTCAGCTCTGCTCCTGGCTGTTCCAAAAATCCAGATAACATCTGCTAGCAAGTCCCTGTAGTAAAAATAATGCAGGTCAGAAGACTCCAGCCCCACACAGAGGTTTTGTAGCAGCCTCACACTTGGAATAGGAGTCACTGTGATGGAGGAGGGCTTGAAAGGGAATGACAGGGAAATAGTTTGGGTAGTCCTGAGCACAGGGACTGGGAGAACACTAGAAGAGATGTAGTCACAAGGGCTGATACAGACAGAGGAACTGCCAGTCAAAGTGCAGGGATTCAAATCTGTTTAAACACATCTGGAATGTCAGCCTATGGTCCCTACTGCCAGTTTATGGGGAACAAAAGGCTTTGGAAACAGATTTTTCCCTACCTCCTGTGCTGCTCAGATAGGCAGAAGGAATGTTAAAAGAATAGGAAAGGAGGTGTGTGGGCAGTGCTCTGTAGAGGAAGAAGGGAGGATATGGAAAGAGGGCATAGAGCTTGCCTATTAACAAAAAAATAAAACATCGAAACTTTCTCTGCAGCTCAGCCAAGATTGTGCCCACACAAACAATTGTTTTCACTCCCCAGGATGCTCCATTACCCCCACAATGCTCTCCTGGCCCAAAGCAGTGTAGATGCCTCTGCACTGCTGCATCAGTGCTAAACCAGACACACTCCTGCTGCTTCAGCCTCTACTGTAGCTGCAGGTTTTGGGGTTGTTTCTATGGGAACTCTCTGGAAACCAGAGCAGGAGGGGCTGCTGCAAGGCTCAGGGGCATTTAGAAATCCTCAGTGAAATGCTGAGTCAGATTGAATGGAGAAGAAGTTTGAATTGTGTAAAGCCATGATAAAGGCTTGTGCAATTTGTACCAGGTTTATTGTGCACTTTTTCTACTCCTTGATGACACTTAAATGCTCTATAGAGTGATTGAGGCTCTTCAGCAAATCAAATGGAGATATTCCTTAAGGGTTCCCATATAGTTTCCTGCATAGAGGAAGAGGAGTCTTGCAGTGAAGATGTGATGGAGGAAGTTACTGTCAAGTAAATATAATGTAAGGACTTACGAACCTGACTGAATTTAGGCCCCCTATGTGCCTTTTTATTGATGTGTTCAGTATCTCAATAAATAGGACATCTAAAATAAAACACTCTGAGCTGCTTTCCCTGCCACAGACTGTTTCTGACACTAGGCACATCACCCATTTGTGCTGTCTCAAATCCATTCAAGAAGCCAGAGTTCTGCCCTGCACTTTGAAAATGGGTTCTATCTCTTCTGTTTAGCATTTGCTTAAACAGGAAACTGCAATAATGTTATTAACAAAAGCCGTTTTTAAAATACCTCACCACCACTTCAGCCAGAATTTACCACAATTATCTCAGGTTGAAGAAAACCATTAGAATTTGCACCCACAACATTTCACTGCCTTCACTGTCTGACATACCAGAGCCCAGCACAGCATGCTTTGGATATCTCTGCCCTCCCACCCAGTATAGCAACACTTAAATTTTCCTTTTCCCCAAGAAGAAATGTGAGATTTTTGCACTAATTTTGCTCTGTGGGTTTTGTTGTAAGAGAAGTCAGGTTGAAGGCAGCCTGTTTACTGCATGAACAGTATACAGAAGCCTCAGGGCCTGACAGAAACCCCTCTTGTTTTCACATTTTACATCTGATTTCTGTGCTGGAGGGAGGGGGTGGATAAAGCAAAGCTTCCTTGGCATAAAGCCTCTGTCTGCAAAGCTGGTTTGGATGAGGGGCAAAGGTTTCCAAGCTACCCATGTGGGACAGCAACACCTACAGATGCAACACACAGTCCTCATGAAATGGCACTTACTGTCAAACCTCCCGAGGGTTTCATGGCTGAAGGCTTTGTCCAGCAGGCGGATCTCAGCCAGCGCCTCCTCTTCTTCCAGCAGCAAGCGCACAATCCTCTGGCCAAGGAATCCTCCTGCTCCTGTCACCAGGCAGCTCACCCCAGCCAGGGACATTGCTCTGGCTTGCTCCTGTGAGTGGTGAACTCGCTGTCTCTTGAGCTTGGTTCTCCTCCTGCCTGAGGGAATGAACATATGACATCAACCTCTGGAGACTTTACAAATCAAAGGGTGTTACCAGAAGGAGAGACTACTGAAAAACAAACTTTAATCCCTACATCAAACCATTTTTTTAAGCGTGTCTTACTTTTCCCAGCTATTCCTATTCAGAAGTAGTCTACATATTTTTTCCACGCAAAGAAAACATTCTTACAAATCATTACAAACCAATTCAATTAACAAATCTGAAAATGCTCAAAATCAGCTTCAATGCCAAACAAACCCCACAAAGTCTGCCTCGGGTCTCGGTCCCACCTCTCTAGCGCTCAGAGGACTGTGGGGGAGATTTGCCTGTATTTATATCCTGCAGGGCACCACCTCGGTCACTTTGCTCCCCTCCCTCTTGAGTGCCTCCTGTGCTGCAAAAGAATGTGATGCTTCCACACCACTCCCACCAAAGAGGAAGGCTCTGGATGCAGTGAGGTCTGAGCCTAGATGTGGTTCTGCAGCCCTAAATCCCCAGAAAATAAACCCTCATGCTCATAATTCTCTCTAGCTGCACTGGCTTGTGTAATACAGTGCCAATATTGTGCCAATATTGAAGGTAGAGAAGATTTAAATTAAATGTAAATAGCAGGACAAGCTATTTAGAGTGGTTTGAGGAATGTACTCCTCAAACCTCAGTCTGCTGCTGTATATTTTCTGGATACTGGGCTCCCCCATTATAATGTGGGTTTCTCACTCTCTCTGTGCAAGATCAGAAACTAACCCTGGGGATTTTGTATTTGTTCAGTATACTGCAGGCATTTGAAGTGATGAAATTGTTTAATGTACCATCAAAGTTAAATTCAAGCTGCAGGAGGGAAAGATTCACCCCTGGAAATGTCTTGTGCAAGAGTACCTATTTAAAATAAGGCTGTTTGTGCTGCAGTGATCTGTGTCATTACTACTTTACATCTCCAATGCACAGGGAAAATACCCAGGTGTTTCTCCCTGGGGTTTCACTCCCGTTCTAGCAAAACTCTATTGTGGTGTGAGACCAGGGTAAGGCATTAGCCTGAACCTCCTGATGCCAGCACTGCCCTCCTGGGTCTGTCAGGACATGCTGGCTGGCTGCAGCTCTATTTTCTCTCTCTCTCACGCACACAGGGATAGGCTGGCATCCCTGCTGAAGCAGGGTAATAAATAGGGAGCTGCCTTGAGCAATGAGGAAGTTACAAAGAAGTCCAGCAACACAACTAATTAGGCTGAAATCACTGGAAAAGGGATTCCTGATTTGGGGCATAGCTGAAATGGATCTCTAAAAATGCTTTGTTTCCATTCGTGCCACTAAGTGCTTTTTTTATTCTATCATGTGTTTTGTTCACTCATTAAAGAGAACCCTGGAGAAAAACTGTAGAAGAAGCATCCCCACACTGTTAGTTTTTTAGAGCAAAACTGAGCTTGCAAGTGACAGGAGGAAAGAAAAACCATTTCTGTTGGAGGAGAAATGTTTCTAGCTGACACAGATGACGAAGCTTTGGCAAGTGTTTCATTCCCAGCGTCCTTGAAAATCTGTTCTGTACCCCAACAAAGCTTAAAAAAATTGTTATCAGTGCTTCTTTCCTTGGCTTTTCACAGTCAGGACCTTGACATTGTATATTCTTATCAGAAGCTGCTGCAAATTAATTTTGTGCACTTTGCAAGGAAAAATAACTGGCCAAATCCTGCTGCACCAGGCGGCATTCTCTGTAAGAGGGCTTCCATTTTGCTTTCAAAAAGGAAATAAAATGCTTTAAAGAGGCATTATAAAACCAGCCACACAGCCTCTTAGGATAGAAAACAGTCTTGTACACCAAGCTTGCCTATCAGAATGACCAAGCTTAGCAAGGGTAATGTTTATATGAGAATATGAGTGCCTCATAGGGGACTGCAGGGAGATTTACTGCTGCTGTGCTTTGTCCTCTTAGGGACTACTCAGACAAATGCTTGGCTCCCTTTGAGGGAATTTTATACATCCCTGCACAGCAGCCTTCATCTGAACTGCTGTGTGTGAGTGTCAGTGATCAGACAGCAGCAATTTGCTCAATTCCAGCTCAGACCTACTGGTGCTTCCTGCAGTCTCACCTAGAGACAGCATTTTCACCTCTTGTTTCTTGCTGACATTGCTGCTGGGGCTGCTGGGTGGCGTGGCAGCTCCTCCTGTGCAGACAAGAGCAGCTCTGGTGCTCCCAAAGGGCACGGAGGCAGATGCTGGAGTGGGCTGTACACCCAGAACGGTGCCAAGGAGCAACAGGGCCAAAGTCCACCCGACCACCAGGAGCAATCCAGAGCTGTTGCACAGGCAAGAGTTGCTGCAGACTAAAACATAATTGAGCAGCATTTGAAAAGTTTACCAACTATGCATTCTGTGTCAAGGCACAGACATTTTTTAACTATGTTGATGTCTTCCTTCTCTTCGACTTCTTTGTCAAATGAAGCCTCCACAATGTGATACTTTGCTGTAGAATGCTGGAAACATTTCCCTCTTTTCTAGTTATACATTGACAAGAAGGAAAAAAATATTTAAATAATTAACTTCTGGACAACTGCCCTGTGCTGGTCTCTGAATAAATACAACTTCTCACAGTGGAGAAGAGTTGCAAGACCCTTCAATCACGTCAATCAAGGTATGTAGGAAACTACCTTAAGAGGTCTCAGTGTTTCTGTGTCCTCAAACCTGACAAAGAAAATATCTCGTATTTAAGTAATACCAAAATTCTTCCAGTAGGATGGAGAAGGTGACTGCAAACATTTCTGACATTATCTCCAAGATCAAAAAGGCCTTCTTGTAGTAGTCTTTGCTATATTAGACAGCACATGATTTCAGTAATTAACTAGAAACAAACATTCAGTCTCCTTTTTCCTTTAGTTTTTGGAAGAACTTTATTTCCTCAGCTGAAATTGATGAGTGACTCATATATTTAAGGGCTGGAGAAATTTGCATCATATGCCAAAGAAAAATGTTTATATTTGGATCCATTTTGTAGATAAACTACCCTTGTAAGTAGACTGATTCTTTGTCCCATCCTCCAGGGATGCTGGGAAGCAGCAGGGTTTGATTAGTCCTTAATCTACATGTTTACAGTCTTTGAGGAGAGTTTTTTTGTAACATGTAACCTTGCTTGTATGTGTATCAGAGATGCAACAAGTGAGTACCTAAAGCAGAACTGGGTGCAGACAGTGGACATGAAACTTTGGTATGCATTGGCTTAGGCCTAATCCAAATGATAGAAAACTTTCAATGTCTTGGAAAAAACTGGGCTTCTAAAAAATAGACTCCCATCCTGATTGACCCCTGAGACTTCTCACTTTAATTTCACTCAACAAATATCTTTGTTTTTCACTCAGAAAATGCTTTCTTGCAGCCTGTCACAGAGTTGCATGTGCTGTCTCTGCAGCTCCATGTAGTTGGACACGGCAGCAGCAGGGTACAGATCTCACGTGCAGCTCTTATTTTACGATTCTGTGATATCCTCCTACAATTCAGATTAAAGTCAGTCTCTGTGCCAACCTCTTCTCACAGCAGCGTCAGAGAGGTTTCTCTGGACCTTACCCAGGCAAGCTCTGAATATCTCTAAAAATGGAGGTTTCACAAACCCTGTGTTGCAGCGTCTGACTGCCCTCATGGTGATTTCTTCCTCCACTGATTTCTGCTTGGAATTCTCCTCATTGCAACTTGTGCCCAATGCCTTTCACCCTTTTACTGCACACATCCAAGAAGTTGTCCTGGATCTTCTCCAAAGGAGTAGTAAAAGGCAGTGATGTGATCTCCCCTCCCCTTGCCTTCAGCCTTCGTAGGACTGAGCATTCCCAGTTGTCTCATTCTCTTCTTGTGCATCCTTGAAATCCATCAATGCACGCTATGTGGTGCAATTCCCAAGTCTTATCTGCCGGCTGTCAGTCTGCCCACAAGGTTCATTGTCCCTGGAACAGAGGCAGGCCTCCGTGTGAAGGCCTCTGGAAGATCACTGCAGACACTGTTATCTGTGAGAGAAATTAAAGTCTGCACAGTGAGCTAACAGGGTTAGCTTCTTCCTCCTGCCTCCTTCGGGCCGATTTAAAGTAGGCTTTTTGCAAGAGGTCACCTTTAGGTAGCGTGGCTCCCCCTGCCCATGCCAGGGAAATGGGTATCAGGATATCTGCCAGCTCCAAAGTGGGGTGAGGCAGGAGGTTTGCACCACTGAGAGCTGGCTCTGCCCCATGAGTGGTGCTCTGCTCCACTCCTTCACTGCATTTAGGAGCAGTGTGTGAGAACTGCCCCCGCCTTCGAAGGGTAGCTGGGGAGCCTGGTAGCTGATTCATCCTGTTTCTATGTCTGCTATGAATACACCCAGGAGAAGGCAGATCTGTGGAAGATAGCAGCCACAACACACACTGTCCCAGAGCAAGAGAGGTGTGCGGATTGGGCTGCAGTGAGACTTGGCAGGACAAGTGGAAAAAGCAAGGCACAGGATTTTCCATGTCTGGCTGTCCAATGTAGCAGAACTTTGGAGGAAGACCCAACATAGGTAATGCTGTGGAACAGCCAATTTACAGCAAATGTATTTAGGCAAGTAACAATTACACGAACTGCTAAGGAATTCATTGGTCTCAGTAAAAGCAGAGCACAGCCTTTGCTAACACAGAGCCTTTCCTAATCTCTTCAGAAGTTTCCAGAAGGCCTTATCAGATACTTATTGCATCTCCTTTTTCATCTTCACTCTGGTTGGAACCTTAGCTTCAAGTGTCTCTGTTTGGTGAGCATGGCAGGAGGCTGATCACAGCTTTGAGAACTGAACCAGGTGTTGGCCAATCTCTGAGACACTGGCACAGCCTGCAATAAATGAAACATTGGTGAGAGAGAAAGGATGAATGATGTGGATGAAGCTTGGAAGCCCCTCTGCTCTGAAACACAGTCTTGTACAAGCCAGGTTGGGAAAGATTGGTACTTCAATCTCTCCACTCCTCAGTGGCATCTTCAGCCTCGAGGTTCAGCCCCCCACAAGAAAAGTTAGAAACATGAAAAAACTATTTTTATATCAAGCTGAGCAGTGTGCAATCTGATCCAGTCAAGTCAGCAGAAAAACACAGAGAAAAGACAAGGGTTGCTGTGTGCCAAATGGCCAGAGGTGAAGATTTACATTGCCATTTCATTTGGACAAGTATGGGTTGTGCTGGTTGACAGCTGGCTGAACATAAATGAGCCAGTTGTGTGCCCAGGTGTGATTCAGGCATCCTGGCCCGTGCCAGCATTGGTGTGGGCAGCAGGACCATGCCAGTGATTGTCCCCTGTACTGGGCACTGCTGAGGATGCACCTTGAATCCTCTGTTCAGGTGAGGTTTACATTGGATATTAGGAAGAATTTCTTCACAGAAATTGTTATCAAGC